CAAAAAAAAAAAAAAAAAAAAAAAAAAGAGTGCACGTGCACATAGAGGGAGAGAGATTCAAATATAATAATGCACTAGGTTAGGAATTGACTTACACCCTCAGAAAGTCCATTACATCTGGAGATAAAGGTGAAGCACCTGATCCCATAAACCGCACTCGTCCACCAAGCTTTTCCTTTATTTTGTTAAATACCAATCGGTCCCACATTGGTGATGGATTCCGGCCTGAAGCATTGATACTAAACATTAACAAGAAATGTGAATCCACACGTTAACTACCTCCTATTTAATGAATGTAGCGGTCAGGTTTATAATCTACTATTAGAACTTCAGTGTTTTGGGCTCAAATAATTGTTAAGAAAAAAACACTTCTGTGGTGTGTTCTGACAAATGACTAAACTGGATAGGTTGGGCACCAATGAGAAGATATCAACTATAATGTTAAAAACTAGTCATTGGCTATACATACCACTCATCAATGCTTGCTTCTTAGAGTTGTAGGCAGCTCTAAATAGCCTCTCCTTTAAAACCCCAGAACTTTTCACCGCATTTACGATTCTGAGACAATCAAATTTATCAAACATGCCTGAATGACCATACAGATTATAACAATATAAATTATGCACTCCTCAAGCACAATCTTACCCATCATATATACGGTTATACAGCCGAGGAACACTACAAAATATTGTTGGTCTTAAAGCAGACAAATCATCCAGCAATTTCAAATTGTCCTGCAAGTTTGAGAAACTAAGCCACAAGTGTGTTTGTATGAAGACACCCAAAATGTACCTAGTTAAGCGTTAAAAAAGATAGCTGTATTAACTGCAGACCTACATTTAGTCTTTAGTTTCTTGAAATGTATGTGTAGTTTCATTACAGGGATTATTTCATGCTCAGAACAGTTGTGATACCAATATATCAGATCAAAAGATGGTCTCCTAACAAGATATCTTTTGGCCTCCTTTGCCCAAGAAAACTACGATAAAACCTATTTACTATGCATAATGACTTAACTATAAAATCTCCCTGACAAGTTCTCTACCTCACAACAGCATTCTTGAACTAGGGCATACCATAAAAATTCTTTAACTGATCCCTAACTAAAATAGGAATTAGAGTCATGACAACATGTGTGTGTGTGTGTATCCGGCAGAATTGACACATACTCCCTGGTAGAATCCAACAGCAACACCATAGTAAACTGACACAATCTGGTTACTCCGTTCATATATGTGTGCCAAAGGAAGATAGGATATATAACTGCAAAAGATAAATAGAAGTCAAATCAGAAAAGTATATAAAGTATCTTTCAACAAAGTCTTAATATGAATTGAAGATGAAACTTACATGTCTGCAGGGTTGAATTTGATTGCCATGCAGAAACCGGCAACACTTGAAATTAAGTTGTTATGTGTCAAGACAACTCCCTTCCAGAGAAATATAAGGCCAATCATTGTGGAGATGAGACAGTAGCAGCAAAAGCTGAGAACCATATTTCAAAAAACATGTATCCTACCTTTGGTTTGCCAGTAGTACCACTAGTATAGCATATGGTAGCAACATCCTCAGGTTTAGGAGGGGTAAAAGGTTGCAGGCTACTGCGGCCCTAAAATAAAAACCATTTGTAAGGTGGCATAATTTTTTTTAAGTTATAACAGACATGCTCAATTTCTATTGCATTGCAGATTGAGAATTGACCGGTCTGATTGTGAATTTTGAATTAAGATAGAAAGCTGATCTACAATAAAAAATTTGTTGAGAAAAATTTACAAAGCCATTCTCAATTTCAATTTAGGAATTTAAATTAAGGTGAAAATCTTGTCCACAATCAAACTATTGCTAATATTACAAGTAAATATCTAATGTAATAAGCATTAGAAACACACAAAAGAAAGTACATTTATCGCTAAACTGGAAAAGCAATTGATTTGTCAAACATATCAAACTCATCAACACAATCCTAACAGTTTGGCTTGTTCAGTTTATATTGTCAATTTCTCAATGCTAAAAACATAAGTAGAGATTGGGATCACTTATTTTTATACCATGGGAGACAATGATTCATTAGCCATCCAGAGAACAAAAACCATCCAAGTCAAATCAACTAAGCACTTAACATATTTCAACAATCAAAAAATTCTAGAAGGAATTTCAAAGAGATTCAATTTTAAAACAGGGATTCCTTGTCTCAAGCTACACAGTTCTAATATGGTCCACATACCAAAATGTTTTAGCCACATACTGCTAGCCTACTTAAAATAAGAAAGGCAAAGTTTTAGAATGAAACTTACCTCACTAAACAGTTTTGTATATGATTTGAGCTTCACTCCAGATGCCAGAGGAAGTGATGGTAAGTGTTCATCTACACCTCCCACTACCTGCCATAAAGTATACAACACAGAATGAGAATAAGATCCATGGTATTCTTTAGCTGATTAGGATCTTAGTAGAGACCACAGAAGTACATACCACTATAAGTCGTACAGATGGAATCTCAGATATGAAGCTAAGCAGCTGCAAGTTCCAGGAGAGAACATAAGGCACATTGCAATTCAAATCAAGCTAACATCGGATCTGCTAACCTCATAGGTTATATATACATGAGATATGAACATGTAATATAGCCAAATACGAGTATGCCACGGAATTCCAGCTTCAATTAGCAATTATATATCAGAAAGTTCTACCCATTACCATATCATCATCTCATGTTATGAGAAAAGGGGAAAAGGGGAAAAGGGGAATCTAGAACAGCCAATTCAAGTGCATTGAGTATGGGTGTCTCCCATTTCCTAAAATAAACTAGCAGAAAAATATGCAACAAAAATTAGTAGAAGAAAATTTAAGCCTTTTCTGTTGTATGAGAGAGGGAGACGAAGAGAGAAGCAGAGAGGGAAAACAAGGAAAAGTACTTGGAAGACCTGGATCACCTGACTCCTGAGACAAGTTTTATAACAATTAGATTCATGTATTAACAACCTATCATCTAACAATGTTTGTTAAACTCAATGCACGTTGAGTATGAACAGAAAATTCATGATTTAGTGAAGATAATTCACAGCAAGCCAGTTTCTTTCATAATGCACAGGCCTTTAAACTAGTCAAAATGTATCAAAGTCTTGTTTAAGAATAAGGCAAGAAGTTTCCAGTGAACTAAGAACCCAACGTGATGCTAACTAGCTAGACATGGGTTCTACTATGTAGAAGGGTAGATTTAAAGGGCAAAGATTAAACTCACGGTGTTCAATGTCTCTGGGACACAGAAGATAGCTTGCACATCAGCATGATTCACAACATACTTAACTGCATCAGGACCTGCGCACAGAATCAGACATTGTAAGAACAGGATTAATGTATCAAGATAGATGCATTTTTTATCAGTCATGCACGTACCAAGTGTGTCATATAAGGGAACTGAAATGTAAGAATATGCTGTACAAGCATGATCCACAAGCAACCACTCTGGTCTATTTATAAAATAGAGTCCAATGCAAGCTCCCTGTTCCACAAGAAACCAATTGATGTCTAAGCAACTACATTAAAAGTAACATGTCACATGGAAGTATGACTTTTCATTTGAGCATTACTGAAGAGGCTAGCTACATAGGGATTGTTTGGAAGTGTGATTGTTGTTGCTTTTCAAATAGCTTTTCGTGCCAAAATACATGCCAACAATGTTTTTTTATTTTTAAAAAATCATTTTTGACATCTGCACATCAAAATGATTTGAAAACACTAAAAACATATTAATTTAAACTTAATAAAAAAATTTAAAAAATTTAATTTTTTTCAAAAGCGCTTTTAAAACACAGAAACAAACAGGGAGATAATGTCAACAAAATACACAAGCTAAGTATTAGATTAAAGAACATCAAATATTACATACGCATGTGAAAACAATTACACACATTTTTTTAAGAAAAAAAATAACTCCTACAAAATACAGATCCAAATTATCTAGAAAATGACTCACCTTTTGTAACCCATGAAAACGAAGGGCAGAACCTATAGCTTCCCTAGCAACACCAGCTTCTCCATATGTCATCCATGTATACCTTTCATATATAAAAGGTCAAAATGATTAAAAAAAAAACACACAAAGAAGTCACTTGACTTTATCTTTAATTTTTAATCCATGAAAAAAAATAGAATCAAATTCCATTAATCAACAACTCACTCTCCAATCATTCCATCTGCCTGAACTCGTGTGCCCAAGTACTTGTAATCTCCAAAAGTTTTAACAGCATGTCTATAAACACCAGGAAAAAAAAAAATTATGATAAGCACCTTAATACTATTTGTTCTTAAACTCTTTCATTGACCAAGCCATTTATGTTTCAATTTCAAATTATAGACCGTTTAAACTACATACGCAGTAAAGTGAGTAGTTGAGATTCTTACACAAAGTTATCATGTAATGTCTCGATCTCAGGGTGATCATGAAACCTAGTTACAATCTTCATTGGCGACCGTGCAGATCTACCATTACATAAACAAGTAAAATTCATAATCAAGCAATTCTTAACCAATTAATTACTATAAAGAAAAATTAATTAAGTCCAAACTAGTCGAAATTAAACTACAAAAAAAGGAAAAACAAGAAGCAAATTAAGCATTGCTTACCTATACACATTCCACTTCCCTGTTTGCAATTTCTCCGGTAAACAAACACTGTACTGTTGACCTACACAGCAAATGAAAACAAAAATAAAAATTAACAATAAATTCAATCATCAAAATATTAAAAGAATAACACATAAATATTTAAAAATAAATAAACAATTATCCAAATGATAGTAATTATTTATTTGCAAGCAATCAAAAAATAGTTAAGAAATTCATTTAACCGCCTAAGAGTCTATTTAAGAGTATGGTTATGGTTGTTTCCAAAGTATTTTTTCTTATAAATATATTAAAAATATATTTTTAACATCGCACATTAAAAATATCTAAAAATATTAAAACAAGTATTAATGTAAAATAAAAAAAAATATTAAAACACAAAAACAAACCTGCCTAAATGAACTAAAGCCGTTAAAAAACAACGCAGAAATCTCAAAAAAAAATAAAAAATACATATTCAAAACCAGTCAGCGCCCAAAATCTAGCGATCTAAAAAATGTTATAAACTTGAAACATGAGTTGATACTTATACAAGTATAAGTGTAAGAATGCATCAAGAGAGAGAGATTACGGTGAACGAACTGTGAGGAGGTGAGGTTAGCTTGAAGGTCGGATTGATCAGCGGTGGTGGAAGAGAGGATGTGACTCTGGATAGATTTGAGACGACGTTGAGCCGGTGAATCCATGGAAAGAGAATGAAAATAATTTTCTCGGGAAAATGAAGTTTTGGTGTTTGCTTGTATGGAGGGAAAGAAAATAGATGGAAATGATATGCTTGTTTGTTTCAGGAAGTCATAAATAATTATTGAAGAAGGTGGTCGTGACGGATGGGCCCGGGGATTGAGACGGAGTGATGACGTGGCAAAGAAGTAGATAAAGATGAGGTCCACTACTTGGTAGGGTTCTTCGTTGCCAAACATCACTGACATCTTTTTTTTGATACTGTGTAATTTTTTAAAAATTAATTTTTATTTATAAATATATTAAAATAATATTTTTTTATTTTTAATATCAACACATTAAAATAAATTAAAAACAATAAAAATAAAGAAATAAATTAATTTTTAATACTGTGTAATTGATAGAATTAATCAATTATATTAGCTGACGTTGACGGAGCTTGAAAGACTTTTTCAGAAATTTGTAAGTTTTCGAGGACTTAATTGATAAAACAAATGACAATTCCTTGATATCCGGAGTGACTCAAGAATTGCTATATTTGCCTTGATACTCCCGTTTGCGATTTTGAGCATGGCCCAGACGCGGTCTCAATAATATTATTTTGGCATGTCTGAAAAAGTTAATATATATAAATATATTTATAGTTTTTTTTTTTAAAATCGTGTTTCAGAAGTTAATTTATCAGGGAAAAAACCGAGACCATATATAAATATATTTGAAGTTTTTTTAAAAAAAATTGTCTTAAATTTTGTTTTCTAGAAATTTAATTTTTTTAAAAAAATTATATTTTAATATTATTTTAATATGCTGGTATTAATAATGATTTTTTAAAAAATATTTATTATTTTAATAAAATTTCAAATAAAAAATACTACTGTTATTGTATTATATCTAGTGATTATTTGAGGTCAGTAATTTGCTTGTGATTTTAACTTTTAGCAATGTTTGTAATTTTTAAATATTAGATAATATTTTAAAAGATAATATTACATTTACTTTCATGTGTTATTTTCAGAAGCTATATTCTATAAGCTTTTAAAAAGTCATGGAAACAGGTAAAAATCACAGCTTTTCCACGCAAACCATTATTGGTTGAACCTTTAAATTACTTGAGTGCAATTTATACCTTTTTCTTGAATTTTAGTCTCGTGTGTTTGTTAACACGGTACATCGCCTTAATAAATAAGCTTTTAATAACAAAAAGATTTTATACTAAACACTTGAAAAAAAAATCTATTTAAACTTATTTTTTGAAGTGATTGTTACTTAATTAAAATATTTTAAAAATTATATATGAAAGTTTTTATTTTATGATGTTTGAAGAGTAACTAGGAATATTCTATTAGCTATTTTGAGCTCATTTTAAAAAAATAGGTAAATTCTAAATAAAAATATCATTATTATTTTTAGAAAGTCTTGGAATTTATGTTATATCTTCTATTCATGTTTATTTTTTTAATATAAATTTTAGAAAATAACTTACTAGATGCTTTATAAATATTATAAAATTTCATATATAAATAAATTTGGAAATATTTGCAAGTCTTTAAAGAAAAAACAAAAGCTCCATGTTTAATATGTTTTTTTTTGTGAGATTTTGTTTTAAAAATTATCATAGTACTCTTAATTTTGATGAATCCTTGATCTTTATTACTTGCATCCATGTATCTTGAAAATCATATTTTTTAACTAAGATGTATACATATTTTTTGTTATTTTTTAATTATTTTATTTTATTATAATCTGTTTTTATAAAAAAAATATTATTATTTTTCTAAGAAAAAATTCGACAGCTCAGGGTTTGAGGTAAGCATTGGCTTAACTGTGTTGGAATTAAAACTATCTTGAATCTGGTCCAGGTCCATGAAGAGAGGTCGCCCCATCATCAATTAATGCTCGGGTTTAATTATTTGATCAGATCTGATTTAGGGTAGGTCCAATCCAAAATATAATACCTAAGACCATGTCATGATTCTTTGTAGCATATGGTAATAATTAAAAATAAAAATTCCTTGGGATAAAACTATAGTACAGGGCAAAACGATATTTTTTAATAAGTTGTTTATTGGCTGTCAAGTCCTAGCCAATTGAATGTCTCGGACTTATATTTTATTACGATCCCCGAACTTATAAAATTCACCATAATCATTGATCAAGATCTGTCCACGTGTCTTGACTTGTGTAAAGAAATAATGCCACGTGGTTAGAATATTCCATTTATTTTTTTAATATAGAGAAACACGCTCAACAGTCCTAATATTCATTGACTATAATCCATCTTAATTTCAACCGGGTAATTGATGGATTTTTATTCCTTGTGCTATCCTTTCGGATTCCAATCCAGATGAAAATCATGTAAAGTAATTTTTCTGTAATAGCTTGGGCATGGATGTAATTTACCTTAAAACTGATTAAAAAAATATTTAATCCCAATTTGTAAAAATTACTTGATTATATCTTAGATGTTAAAAATAAAATGTCAACATTAGTTTTACTATGAAAAAAATAACATGAATTCAATAAAATTATTATAAAAACAACTTTACAGTAAACAATTGTCTCAAGCCGAGCAAGAATATTGTTTTGTATTTTAAAAATATTTTTTATTATTTTTAAAAAAATTTATTTTTTATGTATGTGTTTTTATATCAATATGCTGATATTAATAATAAAAAAAATTATTTTAATATATTTTTAAATAAAATTTTAAAAAATAAACACCACTATACTTTCAAATATTTTTATTTTTATTGTTATAAAATATGATGGGATTGATTTTAAAATTAGTTTAGGTAATAGGTCATTTTGAGTTAGTTATTTTTATTAAAACTATAGTATTTTATCTGTTTTATTAGAGCTGATTTAGTTAGATTTAGATTTAACAGGCAGGCCAGACTATTAAAAAGTCAAAAATTTAAAAAGTTTGACCGAATTAATAAAATGTCTGGAGAGACTAGAAAACTAACTAAAATCAAGCTCTTGGTTTCAAACTTCCCCGATCAACACGCTGAGCCAATTAGGATTAGTAACCATGGATTCAACAACTGAAAGCGATCTCAAATTTCATGACATTTATTATCATCAATTAAATACCATCAAGCTATTTGCTCGTGCGGTGAAAATATTTCAAGCACACGCGCCGGTTCAGTTGTGAATAATCTGTTTAACACGTGGTTGGAGAATAATTCAAGGATGTAAAAAAGATATTCAAGTGTTGGTAGCTTGTTTCAAAGAAGAAAAAGAAATTTGTAACATGAATTGGAGACCCGGTTGTTTTAACAAATTGATTTTGTCTAATTATGTAATAAAAAATAATAAATGAATAAAAAAATAATTATAGTGATTTATATAAAAAACAACTCCATGAAAAATAAAAATAAAAGAACTAATAATATCATTTTATAGCTAGTTAAGTGTTAAACAAAAAAGATAATTTAAAAAACTAGTTCGAGTCAATTTGAATTAGCATCTTGATCACGTGTCAATATAAGTTAACTCAAGATAATTTTTTATAAAGCAAATATAAAAAATTATAATATTTAATTCTCAATAAGCTAGATTTTAAAATATAAAATTGAAAAAATATTAATTTAAAAACAAATAACCTTAAATACTTGAAGTTAAATTCTTGAATTGCATGAAAAGGATAAAAACATGAAATTAAATACTTGACATAACCCAATATTCAACATCAAATACTAAAAAAAAATATAAAAATATCTAATTAGAGAAACTTAAAAAACTCAAATTAACTCAAACTAGTATACTAAACCTGATATATAGATTATAAGACTAAAAAAAAATCTATAAAAAGAATTCATTAAGCTAACTTTCATCAAATTGTGAATAATAAAATAAAAAAAAATCAATGTAAAAAAACAATTTAAAAATGCCTAATGTCAACCTATGTTAATATTTTAAATATATCATCCAAGTAATAAAAACATGATCATAGCATTAAAAAAATTATCAAATCTAATTTTAAATAAATTAAATAAAAAATAATCCGATCAAAATAAAATTTAATGACAAAAAAAAAGAAGGGTTGAATCCCTTACTTCTCAATGTAATTCAGCCATTGATATTTGCTAATATTAAATTTTGGTCCGTGTACTCTAATTGTTTTATTTTAATTTAACTTAACATCATTTATTTTTACTAAATTTAGCATCCAAATTTAATTGCTATTCATTTGATATTTGATATGAGCTGGGACGGCACACTGGCCTGTGGCACTTTTCTAATTAAATATTTTTCGAGTGAAAATTTAGAATTGATTTTGTTTTTTAAAAATCAATACAGGTATTTGGATTCAATTAACTGTAAAATTAATTATTATATAAATTTTTAATAACTATAAAATTTATAAAACTCAAATTAATAACTTTTAAAATCACAAACCCATCATATTATTTTAAAAAAACCCAACCTAAATCCCTCTATCCTCTTTGCATATCAAAATTAAACACAAAAAGAGCATCCCAAGTCCCAACAATTTTCAAAGGTCGGATGATCAGAGTGAAAAATTGCCATTTCAATAATATTTTATTATTTTTTTCTTTTATTTATTCAAGCATTGTTAATAAATCTTAACACAAGAGAATTATCCCGTGTCATTGCGGTAACTTTAATTTTCTAAATTATTTTTTTGTATTAAAAAACATTGAGTTCAATTGATTTTTTTTAAGATTTTTATTATATTAATATTAAAATAAAAAAATATTATTTTAATTAGAAAACAAAGTAGCAGTAAAAAATATTTAATGAATATTTAACAATGTGGTAAAAATTATTTGTTAAAGTATATATCCCGTATCATTGCGGTAACTTTAATTTTCTAAATTATTTTTTTGTGTTAAAAAACATTGAGTTGCATTGATTTTTTTTTAAAGAATTTTATTATATTAATATTAAAATAAAAAAATATTATTTTAATTAAAAAACAAAGTAGCAGTAAAAAATATTTAATGAATATTTAACAATGTGGTAAAAATTATTTGTTAAAGTATATATTTTTGGAAAATATATTAAAATAATATATTTTCTAGAAATTTATTTTAAATGTAGAATATTAAAATAATAAAAAAATTAATTTAAAACTAAAAAAAACTCA